GAACTGTTGGTACGGAACATACATATGGGCGGATGGACGGACGGACGGACGGACGGACGGACGGACGGACGGACGGACGGACGGACGGACGGACGGACGGACGCACACACGCGCACGCGCGCGCGCGCGCGCACGCACGCACGCACGCACGCGCGCATGCGCGCACGCACGCGCGCACCCTTCCGTACAGAAAAAAGACCTTTTTCAAGACCATAAAATGGTCTTATTTCTGCCCTTATTTCTGTACGGACGGGTGCGTGCGTGCGTGCGTGCGCGCGCGCGAGTCCGTGCGTGCGTCCGTCCGTCCGTCCGTCCAACCGCGCACTCGTCCGTCCACTCGTCCGTCTACTCGCGCGTGCGCTCGCACACTCGTACGTTCACCCGCTTGCTCGCCCGCGCGTTTCCCTCGCGCGCCACTTGCCCAGGTTTTCTGGAAAATGCCGTTAACGACCTCTCGAATACAGCAAATGTATACATATACACGCAAATCTCTATATATGTATGTATGCATTGCCCGTTCAGATGTTCATGCCGATGTCTTGTAGCACAGCTCCTGAATGCTGTCGTGGTGGTGGTGGTGGTGATGGTGGTGGTGGTGGTGGTGGTGCTGCTGCTGCTGCTGCTGCTGCTGCTGCTGATGGTGGTGGTGTTGATGGTGCTGGTGGTCGTCGTGGTGGCGGTGGCGGTGGCGGTGGCGGTGGCTCGATTGATTCCCTACGTATGGCAAGTAACGCATCCGTCAAGTGATTTAGTCAGGTAACGCGCACGCAGCGAGGACAAACACATGGCTTCCCCTGGATCCACAATCATACAAAATGGGTGTGCCTTTTCCGGAGGGTACGCCTTATTGCTGGTTTACAGGGCAGCAAAAAAAGGAGAACCTCTATTTGAGTGTGTCCTTTCTTAGGGGACCCACTAAAATGACGGTTTCCCAGTTGGTTTCCCTTTCAAACAACCCCAAAAAGGGGGGAACATGACGCAGACGAAGAGGTCCTTTGCCCCAACATGGGGCCCTCAACAGGTCTGGGCGGGAAGCTCCGAAAAGCAAAGGAAGGGAAGGTACTGCCAAGTGAGTAAGTTGTTTTTGGGTCGCCGTTCGGGTTACCCACTTTTATTCGTCCTTGTGTGGTCGGGTTACCAACGTTTGTTCGTCCCCCGTGTGTGGGGTCTTCACCTTTGGTCGGTCCCCGTGTGGCGTCTTCACCTTAGGTGAAAAACCCCACGTGGTTGCAACCGCTCAACTTGGTTCGACGAAGCGCCATCCCGAGGTGGACACTTCACCCGAGCTCTGTCACGCTGCTCGGCCGACGTTGCTTTAACGGTCGGGTCGCCCCACAAGTTCCCTGAAAGGGAATGCCTAGCGAAGGATGTCTCAAGAACTCCACGAGACCCTCCCGGACCTCGCAGCATGCTCCTTGATTGCTTGCCTGTCGACGCTCACACGTGAGCCTCAAGGGCGTTGCAATGGTTCTGAATTTTCGGAGTTGGGTTTCAGCTCCAAAGCGGTGGACTTCTGAATCGGGACCAGACTGATGTCCCATGCGGAATTATGGAAGGCAGGGTATATGGATTTGTCACCAAGGCTATGAACCTCGAAATTGGGTTATTTTCTGGTTTCCCTTCACCCCCAAAAAAAAGACCGGACAAAAACAATCAAGAGCCCCAAAAACGAGGGCACGCATCAAATTGAGGGGGGTAGGCAATATATTTCGCCTGTACCGCTTTTAGTTTTTTTCTGAAGGGCACGCAAGGAACCCAATCATTTTAGGGGACCACCTTGCTGCTGGTCTTCAGCAGGGAATGAGGAACGACCCTTATAAACCATCCCTTTCCCTGCAAGGGCTCATTTCAACACCCCTATTGATTCCCTACGAAGAACCAGCAAGCTGCTTTTTTTGAAGATACCCCATTTGGAGGTGATTTAAGAGAAACTCAAAAGGAGTTGGTTCCTTTGGGAAGTCAACCAAAAGGGGTTTCAGCAACAAGACATGCCCCCCCCACTGAAACAGGCCCTGTTTGGGGTCTGAGTCAAAATAGGTGACCCCCAAAATCGTGTTTTTTCTTTTGGTTTCCCTTGAACCCACGCCCCCAAGGTCAGGGAACCCTTGGTTGGTGGTTTCGATACCCCTCGAACCAGCCGAAAAAACATCCTGAGCCGCGGACCGGGCGAATTTCGCGAGGCACCGGGCCGTGGGGCAGGGCCAAAAAGCCAAAAAGCCAAGCCCGCGGCGGGGCCGCTTTTTGGACGGCTGTAAGTTGAAAGCGAAAGGACACCATTAGACAAGTCAGTCTCCTTTTCGTTTGACAAAAGCAGAACAACAAATGGATGGTTGAGTCTCACAAGAACCTTCTTTGTCTCCTTCTCTCTTCTCCCTGTTGAGAAACCAACCCACATGTTGAGAGGTTCCTTGCCGTTTCGGAGGAAAACCGCCGCGGTTTGTGTCGCCAGTTCGCTGAGGTTCCGTGCAGGAGCTGCAGGCTGGGCTGGGCCTGGACGCGAGCTACTCGGCGGCCTGGCTGGAAATGGCCGCGTGGTGGTCTCTCAAAATGAGGGCGGGGGCGCCACAAGAGAGAGTTTGCCCAGGGTCGCTGTTAAGGGGAACCGCCCTCCCCCTGCCCCCCAAAAAAAGGCGGCGGGTTTTCGTTTCAACCCACAGCCAAATGGCTGGCATGGCAAAATGTGGCGTCTCTTTTCTTACAGGACCCGGCCAAAAATGTTTTTTTCCTTCTGGCTTCCCTTTATAACCACCCAAAGGGGGACACTCAAAGAAGACAGACCCGAAACTGGAGCCAATCGGTTGAAACTCCTTGGTTGGAGCTTCCCGATTTTTGTTTGCAGCAAGATGGCTTTCCTTTGGCTCGCCTTTGGGCTTCCTTGAAGTCCAGCTCATCTACAAGAAAAGGCGACCGAAACAAAATGGAACCCGGAACCAAATTGATCAACTTTGGGAGACATCTGATTGCGACCCCCGTGTGTGTCCGCATAGGGGGCCCTCGCCAAATGCGTGGTTTCCCCGTGTTTCTTGAATTGGAACACGAAGGGTACCCAAAACACTCGCGCCCCCCGTTGCAGAAGTCGAATTGCAGCAGGTCATGTTTTCTACAGCTGAAAGCTGCCCAAACAAGCTGTGGGGTGTTTAGAGCAGCTTTCAAGCAGGGTTCCGGGGGTTCCAGTAAGTTCCGGGCTGTGATGTTTGAGGGTACCCGTTTTGAGGTTGGTGTAAAGGGAAATGCTGCCATCTGTTTGGAGTCAAATGGGTGATGAATGGGTGGACAGATTTTCAGGCGGTTCATGTCCACCAAGAGCTTCGGAATTGGTTCCGTATCAAACTTCATAGCCAAATGGGCAGGTGTGGTTTTGAGGGTATCCGTGTTTAAGGTTGGTTTCAAGGAAAACCAACAGGACAATCGTCAAGTTCACCCTTTTGTTGGGTTGGTGTGAAGGGAACCGAAACGGAAACATGAGGAAATACATATTGACCCTGGCAACAAACACCCAAAAAGCACAAACCAACAAAGCAAGCACGTCGGGAAAAAATCCGCCGGCCAGCCGGCAAGCCTTGGTTTGGAATCTCGCGAGGTCGGCCAGATCTACAACAAGACTTTGGAGAATTACGGCGAGAGCAAGGATGCGCGTCCCTCGGCAGAGCTCTTTTGGACGTGGCTTGGAGTTCGCGAGAGCCGGCATGCGCCGTTTTGCGTTGTGAGACCCGTGCACTCGATGAACTTTTAGTCATGCTCACGGCTTGCCAGAATCTCAGCATGCTTGATGTGACGCACCCTTTCCGAAATCGAATTGGCCGACTGCTTTTCGTCGAGATGCCTGTTTCGAACGCAGCCGAGGGCATACGCAGAACATTGAGATCCATGGCTGCACGGTTTACCCGGCGCAGATGGTTTGGCCCCTGGCTCCGAGGCAGGTTTCTCCTCTCAAGATGACCCGGATGTGTCTAAGGGGTGCCTCCCCAAACCGAGGACCAACTCTCTTCAGTTCATCAGGGACCCGTTTTTGCGCTTGGGTGTTTGGCCAAGTTAGTAAGTTGTTGGTGACCCACAGTTATGACCCACTTTTGAGTTTCGCATTCAACCTTGTGATTTGGGGGGGGTAATAAGCCAAGTGTTTGACCACTTCTTAACTTGGCCGAACATCCAAGTAATCCTGCGTTCCGCGGCGAGGTTTCAGTGTTTGAAGTGCAGGTCTGAAACAAATGGGAGACATGTTCTCAACACGTTCAATGAGCCTCGCGATATTTAGAAAAGTGAGCAAAGCAAGCACTCCATGAGTCACTCATTCAGCAGGTCAGTGAGCTTTTAGGGGACCCGCACAATGGTTGGTTTCCCTTTGGTTTCCCTTGGGTTTCCCTTTGGTTTCCCTTTGGTTTCCCTTTGGTTTCCCTTTGGTTTGCCTGTGGTTTCCCTTTGGTTTCCCTTTGCTTTCCCTTCAAAGCCAATCCAAAAAAGGGACCCTCAGAAAAAGACACACCCGCATGCGTTGTTCTTTTTTGGAAGCTAGCCTTTCTGGGGTCTGTTTTTATTAGGACATTAAAAGGAAGCCGCCCAGTAGACGAAATCGAGACAAACCCATCAAGGGCCGCCGACGCGCGGAAAACTGCAGGGTGGACGAACAGGTTGCTATATAAGGGCCTTCATAAGTGGGACGGTGTTGTGGGGCACTTCAACGCCAAACTAAGTCAAAATCATAGGAGAAGAACGTGTGCAATCAAAACAAATGTTTTATTGGGTAGGCGAAATATGGTTGAGAATTTGGGCAACTGTGTTGTTTGTATCCAAGCTTTCCTTGGCTTTGCAGGCAGCCATATATCTCCCGTGCCAACATGGTGGGCTACACGTCGGCGAACCACTTCCAGAGCCTTGGTTTGCGCATGTAAAATGCAACTCGAGGTGGTTTGAGCGCCTCTGCACCTCATACTTGTTTGGGTCTGGATCATGTTAGTTCCAAAAAGGATAAGACCTGTTCGCGCAATCCTCTCGGGAAGTGATTTCTTCTTCAACCTACAAAAGGGGAGGCCCAAATAGTTTCGGGGAGGGTCTTTGGGTGGGGTGCCCGACGTTTGGAGTCTTCCCCTCTTGAGGCAAAGCTGACTCTTTTTGGGGCCGTTGGTTTCAAGTTGGATGGAGCGAAGCATTCGAGGGGCCCCCCAAACTGAGACACATCCTTCATGCTGCCCCCCGAAATGAGACACAGCAAAATTTGGGGGTTCTCTCGAGAAGCGCCAGACGTGCGTGAGGAACCAGGGACAGCAGCCGGTACTTCCCCAATGGAGCCTTACCGCTGCATAAGGGAAGGTTTGCTCGGTCACGCGCAAGTGAGTGCTGTTCAAACCCCCAAGGGGCATGTCATCCAATTGAACTCCCGGCACCAAGTGCTGGCCGGATGCATGCAAAGGTATATGAAATGCGGGGATATCTTTTCCAGAGACTCTCGTGTACCAGGTGAGTCTGTCTTGTAGCCTCCACAGGGTTTCTGAGCCGTGCCTATCTTGGTGGGTCAGCAAGATATCTCCGCGCGTCGAAACGCAATGCCAATGTCTATGAGAGTGTTCAACTGGGCATCGCACCAATCTGGAGCTGACTGGCCACATCACAAGGATGCTGCGAGCAGTTGGAACAAGTGTGTAACCAGCGGATTGAAAACAGCGCCTGCGTGTGGGAATGCCATGCAAAGTGGTTCTAGAGATTCGAGATGTTTGCTGCTTCGTGTGCGCCATGCTTCAGCTGGATGCCCTCAAGTAAATCAACCGTCAACCGCATTGCCATGGCACACGCCAAATTAGAGGCCTTCGCACCACTCTGTTTCAACGGACCGGGGTCGGAACGCTCAGTTTCCATTATAAGTTCATCGCATTTGTTTGTCAAAGCTATTTTGGACCCTGCCTCTTCAGGGTTTTTACATCTTCACAGGAGTTTCGATGGGTTTTCCATGGGGTGTCCACCTACGGGTTTCGCTGGAACAACTGGTCAACGTTTTTTTTGTTTGGGCACTTGGGGTGGAATCTTCACATGTCCAACACAAAAAGTCCATGTTCCCATGTCCATCCACAGCACCAGCCTTTTACCCAGCCGAGGTTGCAGAATCACTTGGTGTCCTTTAGTGTCCTTTGGTTTCGAAAGACATTCGGCATGACGGTTCTTAGACGGACTCCATGATTCACACAGGAAGGGCTCCAGAGATTCCAACGAAGGCTTCCTGTGAGGGTTTTGTTTTTGCTTTGATGGGATGGGTTTAAGCTTATTTGTTGGAGCCAAATCGGCGGTTTGGTGTTCCAGGCCGGCTTCAAATCCAAATCCAAACCAATCCAAACCACCAAGTAAGGTTTAGGCGAGTTTCAGGCTCACGTTTTTCGGGGTGGGTGGGTGGGTGGGTGGGTGGGTGGGTGGGTGGGTGGGTGGGTGGGTGGGTGGGTGGGTGGGTGGGTGGGTGGGTGGGTGGGTGGGTGGGTGGTGTCGGTTCCTCGCAGAGTGATGTGCCACGGGTATAGCTCCGCGGCTGTGCGGAGTGCTGTCGCCGGCAAAAATCGGGGCGGCTTAGATGCTTATGAAGGGAGGTGACATATGTGAAAATTTGACAAAGGTAGGTAGGTAAAAAGGTAGGTAGGTGACATATTATTATACTTCGCCCAGCTTCTGTTTTTGGACCGTTTTAAGTTTGGTTTATAGTAACTGGAGATCAACGGGACGCCTTTTCAGGGTAGCCCTTAGCAGGCGTCCGTTCCTAGGCTCCTGCGCGGCCAAGCGCGCCTGCGCTGCTGCGCGGAGGGGCTGCGCGGGGAGCGCGTGCAGGCGCCACTCAGAAAGGCATAGCCGGAGAAAGGGTTCCTTTGGGCAGGGCTGGCACACGGGATGACTCGGGTCCATACGGTGAAAAGCGAAAAGCAAGTTCCCAGCGAAAGGTGAAAAGGCGCTTTTTGCGAGAAGCCAATCCCAGCTCAGGCTTTGGGGGCGGGGGTTCGAACAATGCGGGGGGAGGGGGGGAGGGCGGGGTGTGTTTCTTGCTTACCCACTCAGAAAGGTTAATTATTTTCTGGGCAAAAGAACGCGACGTCACGTTTCTGGTTGCGACGCCGCCCCAAGTGAAGGTGAACTGTTCTCCCAGAAAAACATGATTTTGGTGTGCCAAATGTTGATCCTTGATTGATAAACCCTGGCCTGGCACACTCCCTCCCTTGCACCGAAAAGCGGGCGGTCTATACTCCCCAACGGGCTCCAGTTACGAATGAGTCCAGAATGTAGTGCCACATAACAGCTCGCGATTTTCGTGCCAGGCGAACTACTGTTTTCCTGGTCTGAAAGAGGCTTGCCAACACAATGTGTGTGTGTGTGTGTGCGTTTGTTGCTTGCTTGCTTGCTTGCTTGCTTGCCTGCCGGCTTGCCTGCCTGCCTGCCTGCCTGCCTGCCTGCCTGCTTGCCTGCCTGCCTGCCTGCCTGCCTGCCTGCCTGTCTGTCTGTCTGTCTGTCTGTCTGTTTGTCTGTCTGTCTGTCTGTCTGGTGTGCTTGTTTGTTTGCTTGGTTGTTTGTTTGTTTGTTTTTGTGTTTGTTGTTTGTCTGTTTGTTTTCAAATACCCACAACCTCTGAAAAGCCATCATTTCAGGTCATTTCAGGTTATTCAAAATTCCTGGGCCCCAACCGATCATGGGTAAGTTTTCCCATTTAGTGGGACATATCAAATCTTAGTAGTGGTTTTCCACAATGGTCATCCCCCATGTAAGGGACCTTTGATCAACCCCCCCATTTCTGGACTCCTTTTGCGCTGGAAAAAGTTCAGTAAAGTTTTGCACCAGGTCTTTGTCAGTGCGGAGTCGGACGAGGACAGCTGGCTGACGTCTCAGCCACGTGAAGTGTACACGGGTCCCACTTGATTCCCTTTTGTGGAGGCTTGCAATTTCACCTTTTGGGCCCGATTGAAAGTGAGTTTCCCTGGGGGCGATGTTTTCAAGGGACATAATTATCACATGGGGAACCTTGTGAATTAATGAGACAGGATACTCGACGGCAGGACTGTTTCGTTGCGGCTTGGATGTTTTGCACAGGTTGCACAGGCCTTTCGGCGATGTCTTTGTTGCATTTCTTGGAAAGCTGCAACGCCCCTGTTTTTCGACCCCCCCCCGCAAATGGTGTTTGGGGCCCATCCAAAAGGTTCAGTTGGAGAAAAGGGTCCCCAAGTCCCGACGTGTATGAAAGCCGAATTGTTCGGCATTCTGGTGCGCGGGCAGAGATCTATGCGGCAGTCTCTGTCATGCGACATTTGCCGTCGAAATCCATTTTTGGTTGCCCCAGGCAGACTGAAACAAGGGGTTCCCTGGCAAAATCAACTACAGTACCCATGGATTTAGGTCTTTGTCGGGATTCCTGGCTTGGGGTGCCCAGGACGACGAGGAGTTGGACGATTGGCTGGGCGAGGTCAACAATTGCCTCGCGGACCGATTCCTTCCTTGGAAGGAGGCATTCCGGGGGATGCCGAACATGAGATTCTCATGCCTTTTGCAGGCTCGGCACCCTTTCCCATCTTGGCTTAAAGGGAAACGAAAAGAAAAGCCAGCATTTGGGGGGGCCACCCTAATTTGACACATACCAATTTTCGCCCTGAGCTGGTATGCTGCGTGTGGCATGGGTTCATTGGGCGAAGATAGCCATATCCAGACGCTGCGCGGCAAGCCAGGCCATAACGGGAGCAGACTTGGATGCACTGGGCCTTCAGAGTACAGAAGTTTTTCAGCTACTTGGACAGCCATTTTGAGGGAGTCCCCCAGTGAAACAACAAAATCAAATTGATGATATAGTCCGTTGGTTTTCGATTCAGCCAAGGCCGATTTGCGTTTGATGCCAGGTGCTGGACATCGTCTCAAACACCTGCCCCGTTTGCACCGAGGCGGAATCGAACGGCGGAATCGCTCGTGATTCGTTGCAGCTCCAAATCTTTCAGGAGAGTAATGGTTCAAGAGCCGTGTCTATGTTGAAGCACATCGATGTTCCATTGGCTTGTTAGTTTTTGGAGCACATCAGACTAATTTCTGGTTCAACCACAAGATATGAACAGGACCGTGCCATATATGCGTTTGTTTCAAGCCCGTTTCCAGCGCTGCTATCCGCGGGTCCTTGCGGCTTTGCGGAACTTCCTGTAAAGTTTCCAGCTGGTTTCCTTCAGGATTTCATTTGCTTAAGAGTGTTTTTCTTATGTTGTTATGTTGTGTTCTGTTGGTTTTCATGCCGGAAATATGGTGTTCCTTTTCCGAGAAACTGAAGCTTAAAGGAATTTTCTTAGACCCCTTCTTACTTACGAAGACTTTTTTTGGGCATAGACGCTCGGTGTAGCCGGCTACGAAGCGAGCCGAGGCGACTCAAGTGGACCGCCTCTGCCGATGCTTCGACATCTGCCGGGAGCTGGGCTGAAGCCTCGGTCAGGTTTTCTCCGGGAAACTTCGGAAACATTCGCCAAGTTCCCACAGTTTGAGAGACGTTCTGCCCATCTTCTGCAGAGTCTTTTTGTAGCATCCTGTACTCGTAGCTGTGAGTTGTTTCCAGGGTGCCCAACTTCCGAATGTTGTACATACCCTGAACTAACATGGCACGGGAGGGTACCTGGAAGATGAGTTTTGAATTTTCTCTTGGCACCCCTTGTCAGGTGCCATGTTAGTAGGGTTCCCAAAAAATGCCCAGCTACCCAGCCCCGGCTCTCGGCATCTGAGGCATGGAACTCTTGGGAGCGGAGGCGGAGCCATGTCAGGTTGCGGAAGAGGATCTGGGGCGGGTTTGGAGGGTTTTTGGTTGGAGTCCAAACCCAGGTCCCCCAGCTAGGTGCGCTTTTACCCTTTTTGGGGGAGGGTTCCCCTACGAAAATAGACTACAGAAAAAGGGTACCCTTATTCAAACCTCTCTACTGGACCTAGAACCGTATTTTTGAGTCACAAACTGAAAGGCAAGATTGGAGTGTGCCGTGAGGTTCCTGGATGTACTGGTGATCTTACCTTTGGAAGCCAACGCACGTCCGGCCTTGCCATATAGCTGCACGTTCAGAACCAAGAACGGGCAGTCATGAAACATGGCGTGACTATTGGTCACTAATAGTCACCCGTTTGTTCGCTGCAATGGCTGGTACTGTGTCTCTGAAGCAGTTGTTGTTTAGCTATGAATTTCAAGAGTGAAGAGCTGACTTGGAACTACCTGAAAGATGCTTGGTGGATGGTACCCAAGAAAATGTGAGTGTTCTTTTGGTAGCGGGGGTACCCTGGAAAAACACGCCCACACGAATCCCCAAGGTGAACTGTGAAATTGTTTGCCTGATGTGAAGTCCTTCAAGGGACACTTCTTCTCGGGGGCACCTCATTCCCATTGGTGTCCCTGTTAAGTCAAAATGGATCTCACTGACATCAGTTTCGCTCCAACTATTATCTTCAAGGCCATGTTGTCTTTTTCTCAAAAA